GAAGAAACAACAGCAGAAGAAGAAGAAAGGGGCTAAAGGAGGGTGGTAAAAAGCAGGATGTGTAACCTCCCTCCCTCAGTAGGTGATGCTGGTTGCAGAATAAAGGTCGAAAGAAAGTGCTGGTAAAAGACTCTTGGCATCTGGATCTCTGTCCTGCCTGTCAGCGGTCTGGGGGGAGGTGGGCTGGTGTAGGCACCAGGATGTATGTGTCTGCTCACCAAGCTGCCTTCCTCACACTTGCATCCACTGTGACTTAGGGTGTGGGCATCAAACTCAGATGCACGCCATAAGAAGAAATCTGTCCATGTTGCCAAACTTTTAAAAGATGTGGAATAATCAAGAACTTAGTGAATTTGCATTTGATTTATGCTCCTCCTGTGTATGTCAGTTAAGGTCTTCAGCAGATTTGTCAGCCAATGTCTCTGACCATGTGTGATGCGAGCGCTGTCTGGTCTCAACCCAGTTGGTCATTGACCACCAAACAGCACAAGCACCAAGGGTCTTGGGAAAGAACATATGGGCTAGATTATACCAGTAGAAGATAGTCTGAAGGGGAGGACAGGGCTGTTGGGAGAAAGAGTGGCAAAGTGTGTGGCAGCTGACTGAGTGTCCCCTTTTCTGCAAGCCAGGTGCCTTATTCTAGCAGGGCCTGGCAAGACCAGAGTGAGCTAAACCGAAGTGGCTGGTTGTGGTGGTGGGCATGGAAGAGGCGTTGTGCTTCTCAGGTGGAAGCTGGTGGTGAGATGGAGAAGTGTTTGCTCTTTTTACACCCCACAGGTAGCACCCAAGCATCTCTTGAAAATTCTGGCTTGATCTGGACGTGGCAAAACATTTTTCCATACGGTGGGTAGAAATAGCACCTCAGGGAGAGTTGTCAGATGCAAAGGCAGAAGTCTCTGCCAGAATTTAAAGCCAAGGCCTGAAGAGGTGGGGAGCAAGGGAAATATTGCTGTGTCTTAGCACTTCACCACCACCTCGCGCACACTCCAGTGGTCATGGAGTAAAAATCGAAGTAGAATTTAGTCTTTATCACCTTTACTGTACACTGGCACCAGCTGGGAGGGGGTTGAATGTGTGTTGTGCTCTGAGTGAGAAAGAACAGAGCATTGAGAAAACAGCTTTCTGAATGGCTGGCAGAGGGTTGTGCTCTGAGTGAGAAAGAACAGAGCATGGAGAAAACAACTTTCTGAATGGCTGGCAGTTGGGAGGGGGTTGAATGTGTGTTGTGCTCTGAGTGAGAAAGAACAGAGCATTGAGAAAACAGCTTTCTGAATGGCTGGCAGAGGCACCTGCTGCCGGGTGAGTGCTGGATAGAAGGGATTGTTCCAAATGTGTGACTTGTCTGGGTGCTGTGCCTCCTCTTGGCCAGCGGCTGGTGACTGCAGGCGAGAGCACTATCCTGCAGCTTCTGGAGGGTGATGTGGAGAGAGGAGATGCTGGAGGAGAATGCAACTCCGTGTTCCCCAGGCGTCTTCTCTGGTTAAACCTGGCTGAAATGCTCGCCGAGACGGGGCAGCCTCAGCCGAGGGCGCAGCGGACGGGGCGGGCGCCGCGCGTCCCGGGCTGCAGGGGGAGCCGTCCCTGCGCGCTCCCGCTGTGTTCCCGCCCGTCCCTGCGCGCCGCCGGGCGCCCAGCGGAGCGGGCCAGCCATGGGCTCCCGCC